TAAGCATATACAAGTATTTTGGTATTTTTCCATAGCTTTTCTCTGGTATTCCTCTAACCGCGTTAACTGCATACTCACGTGCATCCCATGCTAAAGAATAAGTCAGCTCGACTCCATGTTCCATACGCATAAGCTGGATAACATCATTTGGTTTATGACCTTCTTTGACACCCACATATTTATTCATAATCAACCTCGCAATGGTTTTTGCTGANNNTNTCTNCCCNACTTTNTTTTTGCTTGAAGGAGCGCATGTATGTTTACCCACATACTTGTTGATAATGAAATAGTCTGACCCTTCGACACACACTGCACGAAGACGCCAACTGCATACATCATTTACGCAGCGTATAGTCCACAGTTGAGTAGTAGATTTACGAACCTTATAGTGGAAGTTATACTTCGTTGTACACATTTCCAATGTTGCCTTCAAAACCTGTTTGCTTTCGAAACGTTGATGTTTCTTTACAGAATTCTCCAAACAAAAACTCTCAATCTTTCCACTCCCTTGTTCTGCATTTGTAGACACTAATCCATCATCACCAACGTCACAATCAACATCATCGGATTTGGATATTGGTTTTGAAGAGAGAGTTGTGCTTAACATGAGGCACTATTTCTTGGTTTTTCTCAGCAACATTTCGATCATCTTCTCTGCTTTTCTCAAGCTTCCGTTGAGTATCAACAATAGGTGTAAATGACACACACAATTGTATCGACGAATTTTTTTTCACGTACCCAACAAAATTTCTAACTTGCCGATCGTTTGAGATTAATACTGGTGGAGATCCCAACTTGTTGATCATATTATCAGGTAGAAAACTGCACTCAATCTTAACATCATGTCGGTCAATACCATAGTCCTCTGAAACCATAGACTTTAGATCCTCAAGAGTAGTTGTAGATTCCAAAACAAGTAACCTACCTCGTTTTTCTTTATCAACAGCAAAGCTCCATCAATTTTCGGCTGAAGATATCCATTCACCACAAGTTACATAGATATGTAACATATTAACCACAAGAAGAATTAAGAGAGTTTTAGGAATTGTTTTTCAAAACCATGTAACAAAAAAAAAGACTGAAAACGTGAAGAAGAGAAGATCACGAAGAAGAATAGTAGATTTAGGAAAGATTTAAGGAATAAATCGTTTTTTGCAACAATATTAATCACGATTTATTGATCATAGATTTAGGGAATTAAAACCAACTTCAAAATATAAGAAAAAAATGCAAAATATGTCACTATGTGACATCGAACTCGTGACCTCTGATTTTAGGTATGTGCGTTTTCAAACCAAGTTCACCATATTCATATAGGTTTTCTATTATATTAAAAAAAAATTTATGTTTTTACCAAAAATACTGAAAAAAAAAATCAAAAATGTTATTGATGGAAAAATAAAATAAAAAATGGTTTTGGAAAGTAAATATTGAATAAAACATTTTTTGGAAAGTAAATAACTAATGGTCCTAGATTGAGAAGATTTAAATTACTTTTGGTAGAATAGACTTTTTACCATTTGGTAAACGATAGAGAAAGAGGTGGATAGAAGAGGTAGAATATGCATTCTGCGAATTGTAGAAGACAAAGTCATTGGTAAAATTGCATTCTGCAACTGGTAGTAATGAAGCAAATGGTGGAATATGCAATCTGCGATATGTAGAACTTGTGCAGTTAGTATAAAATGATACAATAAACAATCAGATGTCGACCTTGATTCTCGCTTTTTGGGTTCTAAATTTTTCAAAAACAAAACATAACTAGAAAAGGTAAAAGTTTACCAAAAAAAAAAAAATAGAAAAAGTAAACTTATAGAGATATTAGCAAAAATAACATACAAAAAATTTATAATGTATTGAATAACCAAATTTACTGTTCATATCAATATGCAGATATAATGTGTATGTCCAAACAAAAATGTCCTCAATGACAAGAGAGGAACATTAGCTTCTCGACATCAGCCTTGTACACGTGTGAGGACTTTTTCGACCAGACATCTATTTGCTTGGCTATTGATTACATT